TCTAGGTGGAGCACTGCAGAAGTCATCAGGGAAGGGGAACATGCCTGAACTTGGCTGCTGTGAAGGCTGTAAAGTTGACAAGCCAGTGATTGTATGGATATTGATGGTGAGAAAGCAAGGTGGTGGTTGCAGAAAAAAAACTAATGCCTTGGATGAGAACTTATGACAATTCAAATGGGGAAGGGGACATAGCTGTTCATTTTTAGAAACCCGTGCACTAACGTTAGAACTTGCTCTAGATGAAAAGGGCAAGAGATAAAAAAGAACAAATCCCCTTGCTGGTTTTTAGATCAGTTTGTTTGGGGGAGGAAGGGAGGTGTGTACATCAGATAATTTTAGAAAGGAAAATCACGGTAGAACCATACAGCTGACCTGCAAAGGTTTGTATGCATTTCTGCTCTCACCTTTGTTTTGACGCTATTAGGTGTGATATGTGAGCAGGGGGAAGGTAGTCTCTAGAGGGACCCCTCTCACCACTTACAGAGCACTCACAAACCACACAGGCTCACTCAATGCTTCGTGTCTAAATTCAACTAAATATGGTGTGGGCCAACAGCCCTGGGAAGGGTCCTGGGAGATGGCAAGAGCTAAACAAGACATAGGTTTCTGTTCGGATACAATATTGAATTGTTTTTTAATTCATTTCTGTTTAATTTTTTTTTCTCATTTTGTTGTTTTTTTATCATGTTTTTCTTTGGGTTTCAGTTCTTTTGGGCTCTTCTTTTGAGGCTGTGTTTGATGCGTTGGCTTCCCATCCGCTGCTCGTAACCATCTCTGCTATGAGTTGTGAGTGAGCCATCACCATGCTTCTGGGTTTTCATTTTGTTTTGTGCTTTTGTTATATACGGAAGTCCAAATTACACCTTGTTTTCCTTTTTTTCCTCATGATATGCTTGTTTTTCAGCAGGATCGTGACAGCTACCTAAATGTGATGCAAAGACCTAGAACAATTGGGATTCTGTCTGAGGGGCTGGCAGATATTTGGGTGGTACCAGAGACTGTGATTTTGTCACTTCTGTGGTTTCAGAGGCAAGGGGAGGGGAATTCTTTCATCTTACATTTCTGGGTCCAGCTTCCTCTATTCATTTCTGACTCCCCATTGCGATAAAATATGTTTCTATCATTAATAATTCTACAAAGTGGTGCTGTTTAAATTAGCAAATCAAAACACATATAAGAAGTGCAGATTTTGTTCCCAACAGAAGAGGTGGAGATGCGTGTCCCTGCATTTCCCCCATGAGCCTAACTGAAGAAGCAGAAGATTCCTAGAAGTCACAGAGATTCTTCCTTTTCATTCAGTTAAAACTTTCTTTCACTTTTCCTGCTTATCACAGCCTTTCCAACAAGTTATTTCAATCCAAGATGTATCTCCAAATGCCTTCCATGATCTGTGGCATTTTCTCTCTCCCCTTACCACCTTCTTGTCGATCTGTGCTAACTTTCTTTTCATGTTCTTACTGCTGAAAATCCTTTTCCTGGTTCCAGGAGAGATGAATTAATGATCCTAGATGACAGCAGGCTTGCCAGGGGCAAAGGTGGTGGATCTCATGAGGTGTTTGCACAGGCTTCCAGAAAGTAGGGGAAGAACCAGTGGTCATGTTCCCTGAGAGTACCACGGTCTTAAGAAACAGCAGAAGGAAAGTAGTGGCATACAAATACAAGTTTTTGGGAAGGAAGCTGAAAACTGGGACATTCAGAATATCAGTCTAGGGACCAGTGAGGCAAAAGGAAAAATTCTAATCTCTATGAATGAACATGGTATAAGGAGCTGGGGTTCAGATTAGTGAGGAAATACAAGCACTCCTCAAATAAAGGGAGTGTACTGGAAAGACAGACTTCATATGAATCACAAGGGAGACACTGTTGACACTTGAAATACAAATGATCATGAGTGTTTGACCTGGAGAATGATGAAAAGCTGATGGGTGGAAAAGAGCACAGCTTGGAACAGTGCATCCAATTCATATAGGATTTTGTTACCTAGTTCTGTCTTTGTGAGGTAGTCTACATTGCAATGCAGTGAAAGGAACACAGTATAGTTTTTGCTCTGTGGTAGTGATCTAAGACATTCTCCCAAGCTAAAACTCATTTTAAATCAAGCTTCTAATGTAATATATTTCATATCTGTGACATCTCCCCAACAGCACTGTGTCATAAAGTACTTCAGCTTTGTGGTAGACACAGCACGAATGCGAGGAGAGATATACTTTATAACATTTTTGATAGTAATACTGATGAGTAAAAAATTAAAAATAAATCATGCATAGTTGAAAATTGTATTTCAACTTGCTACCTTATTATATAGTCATCATTTTTGGGATTCAAATCAGTTGAGTTTTATAGGATCCCACAGGCTGAACCTCCTAACTGTAGCGATTTCTATTCTGTGTCAAATGTGGATTGGTCTGGACAACAAGGATGTTTTATCCAGGCTCTTTTCCACCACTGGACAATGTTGTGGTGGGATGAAATTTATTAACTGGAAGAAATGAAGTGTGTAAAGAAATCATCTGGAAAATTAATGTTGGTGAATTCAGAACAAAAGTCAATAACAGTTGGGTATACAGCATGTGCTACAACAAATGCTCAGGCAGGAGCTGTTTGTTTGGATGAAAAACAAGGTATCTCCACAACCTGGGAAATATTTGATTGAAGTGATTAGTGACACAGTCAAAAGGCATGACTAATTGCCTTATGACTGGCAGAGCAATCAAACATGGTTACAAGAGGTGCAGCCTTTATGAGAAAAAGATGCTGTTACACAGTTAGCATCTACCTGTTTTGTTCAAAGGACTCTAAAGGTCCTGTCAAAGCAATTGCAAAGTCTTGCTTAGTTGCAGTACCCTTCACTGGGGTACTACATGAAAGAGGACTAGAGAGAGAGAGCCCTTGGGGTTCAGCAGCAGGACTGGCTTGGGGAGCAGCCAGTCATGTTGGCTGTGGGACAGATACACAGTAAAAGATGGCTGGGCTTTTGATTTGCTTCTGAAAGAGGAGGGAAATAACATTTGGAAACTGCCTAGCATTGGTTTCAGAACATATCTAATTAAAGACTACAAAGATAGCCTGTCTGCCAGAAATAGTATGTATTGATCTAAAATGATTTTCAGAGACATTGCCAACCATACTGAAACCAGCACACGTGGTATTTGGCTCAGTACATACACAGTTGATAACTGAAGACACTGAAGTCAGGAAAGAACATGAAAGACAACTTCCATGGACTGCAAACACTGAATAATATTTGTTGTGAAAACATTATGGATTACATGTTAGAATTGTTCACAACACACTCTTATGTCTCATGAAAAGTATCAAAGCACCCTAGCTTCCATTCATAATAGAAAAGAGGAATGTCCTCTTGCTTTTGAGTATGTAGAGAAAATTTATGGTGACAGCTGGTTCAACAGATGTATTCCAGTGGCCAGTATTCTGCTTTTCGGGAACTCACATCAGTGAATTCACTGGAATTCTGAAAATATTTTGCAGTCATTTGTCAGTGAAAATCCTAAATTGCATGCTCTGAGAGAAATGAGGTAGAGGAACAGCAATACAATATCTCTGCTATTACCTGCTGCTAAATAAGTATCTTATAGCTCAGGCTGGTGTACTGCAAGATTAAATGCTGCATTAAGTGCATGGGATGTGCACAGAGGTTCTCCTTGTGGAGTATTTGATTAGCGTAAAGGAGTTGTAAGATAGACTTGCAGCTTTTTTTACTTGGAGTCACTGTAACTTAAGAGCTGCATTGTACACCATACAGGTGTACATGTTCATGGCATGGTGTTGATGAACTTGCTTAACAAACATTTGAAGTTTTATTCTTTCTGAGAATGTTGAAATTCAGAGCAACTTCCCTGTACACAAAAGGAAGCAACTGAATTGTACATATTTAAAGTGGCAGAAGGGTGCCCTGGAACAAAAGTACAGAATTTTAGGCGCAGTTTTGAAAGCATAGGCACAGCTTAAAGAACAAACCTGAATCAACTGACCTACATGGGACAAGTTACTCAATTAGACTTTTTATTACTGTGCTCAATTTTCTTAGGATCTTCATTATGAGTATGTTTAATTTTTTGCCCAAGCTTAGCCTTAAGATGGAAGAAGTGTGGGCCTGAACCTGGTTTTGCCACGAGAAATTTGAAACCACTCTGTTAACTCGCATTAACTCTGGTGCTTCTAGTTCAACTGAAAGGATTTCGTGGATGTCATGATTTAAATGCAAGTTTTTCAGAACAATGGCATCTTCATTAAGTGAACTCATGTGGATAATGTTCTTGTGGAGGCAGCAGTAGAAAGAGTTGGAAGAGCTGCTCAGCTCCTGAAAGAGAAAAAGCCTCCAGGTTAGAGGAATAGTCACTGGAATGCCATTCCACAGCCACTGTATTGAGCCTTCACTTTCCAAATACAGGAAATGGAGAATCAGAGAAAGAGAAAATAAAGATACATGGTCTAAGATATACTGGGAAGAATCTGGAAAAAAGTAAGAACTCTGGAAGTCAGAGGTTCTTAATTTGTTGAAGTCTTGCAGAAGATGTCAACAAGCATTGTCAGTAAATGTGTATGGTCATCTGCCTTGTATCAGAGTAGGCAATTCCTGTTCTCATCCTGACCAGGCTGTCTTCAGGCTTTGCTTAGCTCATATTATTCATGATTCAGTTTTGCACTTGCACTTCTTTACTAGCTTTTCCTTTGACCTGGAGTTTAAAAAGGAAAATATGATCCTGGATAATGTTCTTATCTCTATGCCTAGACTATTACTGCTCTAACATATCACTGTAACCACCTTGCCTTCTCTGTAAAATAATCTTTTCTAGAAATGCAGAATTGGAGACTGCTGTCTGTTTAGCTGGCTGCTAGAGCACAAGAAGGCAGTAAGAGCTTTGTATCTCTTGCATATATATGAAATAACAGTATAGACAAGAAGTTCTCAGGAGTTAGCTGCGCAGGGGATTTAGTTGTCTGCTCTGTCTCTGAGATTTTCTCTTGTCTCCCTTCAGCCCCGCAATGTTGCTGGTTTTCGAGGAACGGTCCGCTATGCCTCTGTGAATGCACACAAAAACCGAGTGAGTATTTTTGGGTTATAAGGAGTTGAGAGTAAGATTATTTCCCCTCAGAAACCTGTTTTCAGGAGCAGGGGAGTAAGAGGCATGACTTTTGGTTTGTTATCTACAGAAGTTAGTGTATCAGATGATTTCCATTAGGTGGTCAAGGTTGTAAAATGAAAATTATGATTCTGTTATTGGATTCTCTCTAGTTGGCAGCCTTAATAATTGTAATTATTGCATTATCAGACACTTTTTAAGGGCAAACCCCACACATACTTAAGGGGAAATCTGGGTAAGTGCCAGACTGCTTGCTCCTAGTTTCTAGCAGAACTCGGCTGAGAATTACCAAGTGCCAGGTCCTAAAATCCATTCTTCACCTGTAATTTTTAGTATTAATGTCATGCTGTCAGGTGAGGAGCCACCTAGTTAGGGCTAGGTTATTATTCCTTGAAAAGAGCCATTATTTACATAGTGTCTGACCTGTTTCCTTCTAAACACTTCCGGAAGTCTTGTTCAACATTCTTCTCAAAACGCTCCTCTGTCCTATTCCAGTAATGTTCCTTTGCTGATGGTAAACATTAAGTTTGGACAATGCTCTCAGGCCCATGGTGTGATTCTTGGGGTGTCCTGTGCAAGGCCAGGAGTTGGGCTCAATGATCCTAATGGGTCCCTTCCAACTCACCATATTATACGATTCTATGATTCTAAGTCATGCTAAGTGCTTGCCAGATGGAAACTATCAGCCCTCCTGCATTACCTCCAGGTTTCTGGCTTTTCTTGTGCTGAGTCTGTAGAATGACCTGTGACATATAAGGAAGTGTCAGGTTCTTTTAAGGAGAGAAGTTATTGTCTGCAAAATGTGGAAAGTGTGATGTGGGGAGGGCAGTTGAATGCCATCATAAGTTCTCTGTTTCCTGGGAGACACTGAGAAACCTGAAGTATAATTTTTGGAAAAGCTGAATAGTGCCAGCTGTAGCTGGTATCAGCTGAATGTATATTTAGACACAAAAATTGCTGTATAATGCAGGCTATTCTGAGAAATCATGTTCTAGACATTGGATGTTGAGCACCAAAAATGAATTTGTATGCTTTGGCAATTTCAGCCTTAACCTCCATGTTTCAATTTCCCATTCACTAGCCCAGGAGGAGAGTGGTATGTGAAGTGTTATAAATCTGTAAACTGTTGTGATGCATGATGGCAAGTGTTTTGCAAAAGCCCTTGAGCAAATATTGTCTTGTGAAAAGAGTTTGAATGATATTTAAGCTTAGAAATAATAATAAAAAATATGTCCTACACAAATTTTGGGGTTTTTTTTCTTAATCTAGGTTATTCCACATCCCATTAATAAGTATTTCACTCCCGTGGAATATTCAGTGAGGGACAGTCCTATGGAAAACTTGTGCTTTCTTGTATAGATAAAAAACCCTTTGCTAATATATTCACAAAAATGAAAACAAATGAGGTTATTTAGGTGACTGTATTGACGTTGCCAAGTTTAATAAAAGCTTGGGTTTGTGTCTTTAGTCTTTAATTTGGCTTCTTTAGTCACTGAATGGGAAGTATGACTTCTCTTCCTGCCTTTTAAATGGGGCGGCTCATCTGGAAAGCACACCTGGACTACTGAGCAGAGTGGAACTTTGCTCCTCAGTCTTAGTCTCTCTTTTCTTCAGGAGATGGGTAGACATGATGACCTGTGGTCCCTCTTTTACATGTTGGTGGAGTTTGCGGTTGGTCAGCTTCCATGGCGAAAGATCAAAGATAAGGTAGGAAACCTAGTGTCTGTGCTTAAGAGAGGGTGTTCCATAATAATTTTAATTATTATGACTCTCTATTATTTGTCCTGCGGCTCTGTGCAGCTTTTTTCTAAAGTAAAGCCAGAATCTTCTTTTCATCAGATCTTGCTGCAAGATGCTAACCTGCTTTTCTGATGCACAGAGTGGGCTTCTCTTATTTGGAGTAGTTAGACTTTATTTTAATGCACATTGTTAATCATATTTGATCAAGTGATACTTACTTTGTTCTTGCAAAGCAAAAAATAAAATGGAAAGACTGAGCTGTCCTTTTGACAAATAAAAAGAGCCTTTAGAAAGACAGGAGGATAATGCTTTGCTGTGCCAAACAAGCCAAATGGGATTTGAAATCAGAAAGTTAGGCAGAATAAACCTAGCTGTTCATGATGTCTTGGAAACACTTTTTGCTAGAGAATAAAATCCCTGGAAAGAAGTAGATTGCCTGTGCAGAAGGCTCTGCTAAAGGGACTCTGGGGAGTGTTTCTAACTCAGGATTCCCCTTTGACTTCTGCCTGCAGTAATCAACCTTCTTGTGCTTGGGACAGCAAACAGAAGTGTATAGACACTGTGCTGGAAGAGGCTGTGTTCCAGGAATAAGACTAGGTGATATTGCAGAAGAGATAAGTCTGTATAAATGTGAAGCAATAGAAGAGATTCTTGGCTCTGAGATTATTTTTTTTTCCCAGGAGCAAGTTGGCATGATAAAAGAAAAGTATGAACACCGAATGCTGCTAAAACACATGCCTTCAGAGTTCCACCTTTTTCTGGATCACATTGCAAGCCTAGACTACTTCACCAAGCCAGACTATCAGGTGGGAGCCTTTCTTTGCTACCAGTATGGTGCATGGCACTGCAGGTTGGCGTTTGGATTTTTTGAAGATTTCCATTCATGTGTTTATATCTGGCTGAGAAATACCTTTCCTAGGACCAGGAAAAAAAGGCTGAACTGTACAGTTCTCCAAAATCTCAAATGTTTTTTTCGTCTCCTTCCACCACCCTGTCCAAAATAATCCTGTATTCCACACCAAAAAACTCTTCCCAAACAACACAGTACTTCTGGCTTTAATTAAAACACAAAAATTTTGAGGTACTCCAAATGTCACAGAATTCTAGGGCAGCTTGCCAAGATCTGCAAAGAACCTATACCAGCAGCTCAACCGTGCCCACCAACCCCTTTGTTTTCTTGCAGACTTGTATGGGCTTTGGCCATTATTATCTCTTTCTTTAATATTCACCTAACATATAGATTTTCCTCCCATTCAGTGTTTGCTATCAGCATGTATATGATCAGTTATGGTAGCTCAACTAACACAATATAACTGGAGCAACTTGATTCTGTGTCACTTTTTTTTATCACAGTGGTTTTCTCTGTACATTAAGACAGAGTGATGGAAAGAACATTTTATTAGCAAATCTATGCCTGCTTCTGTTGCCAGTGCATCAAATGAGTGGGAAAGTGGTAGGAGGGTGTTCCAGCAAACTCTCTCCAGCAGTGCTTTTATGTTTTAGCCATGTATGTATTGTAGCGTAGCAACACACACTTTTAAAAAATTAAAAAGAAAAAAAAGGCAAATACTTTCCAGATAGTGCAGTGGAAAAATAACGTTGCCACTAAGATGAAGAGCTGTAGAGGGATGGAGGTGGACTGAGAAGATGCAGAGGGAGCTGGATTTTTTTGGCCTGGAAAAGAGAAGTCAAAGAGGGGATCTGATTCCTGTCTTCTGCTGCCTCAAGGACAGTTGTGGGGAGAATAGAGGCAGCAAGGGAAGTTGTGACTAAATCTAAGGGAAAAAAATGAGAATGTGGGTTCTTAAATATGAAACAGGTACCTAGAGAAGCTGTGGAATTTCCATTCTTGGGATTTCCAAAGATTGACTGGATGAGGAATCTGATCTGCATTTTCAGTAGCTCTGGTTTGAGCAGGTGGTTGGATTAGAGGTTTCAGAATCTCTTTTTGAACCTACATCCTCCTATATTCTATTCCAGTTTAAAATAATTGTGTCGTAATGGTACTGAAAAGCCATCCTTGAGATGGAAATGGAGGGAGATGTTTTCAGACAGTTCTAGGGTCATACAAATCACAAACAGCTCTTTTACAGTAGGGGATTTGACTGAAGCTGTGAATTGCCTCTTTGCCTTCAGTTTCCTGTAGTTGCAACTTGGGCAAGAAGCCTCCAAAAGGGAATTCCCCACAAAATTCTGCAGCTTGCCACTTAAAGTGATTCTTCTAGCTTGACTTGGAGACCTATTCCAGACAGCAAATTCTCCAAAGAGCTCAGTTCCAGAGATGTCTTTATGTTGATTTATCTCGATGTATTACTGTGGAAGACTTTAATCTTTCACAAGGAGGCAATTCACAGCTTCAGTTAAATACACTAAAGGGGGCCTGTAAGAAAGATGGGAAGAGATGTTTTAGCAGGCCCTGTTTCAATAAGACAAGGGGTAATGGTTTTAAACTGAAGGAGGGTAGATTTAAACTAGATATGAAGAAGAAATTCTTCACTATAAGGATAATGAAACACTGGAACAGGTAGAGGTTGTAGATGACCCATCTCTGGAAACATTTGAAGACAGGCTGGAAGGGGCTCTGAGCAACCTGGTCTAGTTGAAGATGTCCTTGTCTGTGGTAGGGGGCTTGGACTAGATGACCTTTAAAGGTCCCTTCCAACCCAAACCATTCTACGATTCTAACTTATCCAATCTCTGTCTGTGTTCAGCATCCACCATGTGACAGGGCGGCACCACAGCTTAAGTTCTTGCTGTAAGAAGAACTGCTTTCTTCTGTTTGTTCTACATTTGCCACCTGCCAGCCTGATTTAATGCCCCTTACATCTTGGTCATGACTGTGAACTGGTGCCTCGCTTCTTTCTCACTCTCAGCCACAGAATCCTGAGCACCTGGGACTGTTATGTGCAGTTTTCCAGTCCACTTTTCTCCTTGTAAGGTTTTTACCTTTCATCAGAAGTATAAAGGTTTCAGAGAAAGCTGAGAAGACTCAATAAGTCCATGGAATAGCTTGAGAATAATGGCAGATTAGGACAGTAGTATCCTTCAGCCTGTGAAGAAGGCTGTAAAATCCCTAATGGCCTGCAAAGTCAAATGCAAGAGTTACAGAATAAGTTATAGCAGAAAGTATCAAAAGTTGTTTTGACTAAGTGGGTCCTTGATGGCATGAAGGAACACTAAGAATAAGACAGCTGAACCTGAACTTCTAATTTTAGCATGTGGTTTCTTACTTCAGACTGCTTCAGTATCAAAGGAATGGAAGGTGGCAGAAGCAGTACCAATTTTTAAATAGCTTCAGAAGATCCCAGTCCCTGACACTGACATGTCCATCACAAAGAATCAGAAGCTGTGATAAGACTGGGATTAGTGGACATATGGGTGAGGATGATCTAGTGAACAGAAGCCAGTAGGGCTTTTATAAGGGCATCTGTCTACAAATGTGTGGACTTCTTGCAAGGCATCTTTGAGGATGTGGGGATATTAATTTTGGAAAGACATTTGACAGTAGCAGTCAAAGCATTGCCAAAGTAGCAGTCAGAAGAATCCTAAAAATAATTAGAGTAGCATTAGAGGGTAAACAGAAAATATCCTTGTATTGCCATGTAGATTTGTGTGAAGCATACTCTTAAATACTGTCTGCAGTTCCATTCCTGCATATCAAAAAGGATATCTTCAAATCAGAGAAGATGTAGAGAAGGGTAGCAAGGAGGCTCAAGATGGATTCAGATATGGAAAGACTAATTAGATAGGACAGTACACTTTGAAAAAAAATAAGAGTACTGATATGTACGTGACATCTTTAAAATCAAAGGCAGAATGGGAAGAAGTGAATGGCAAATTATTGTATTCTGCTTCTTCTGATATGAAAATAAGAAACTGTCAAATAAAATTAGCAGGACGCGAGTTGGAATGAGTAAGGAAGGTAGTTCACATAACTGGTGTGTTCTTCACCAGAAGATAGGTATAGTCTGAAAGCTTATGTGTTCAGTAAGTAATTAGGCAGATTAATGCCCATTTCCATCTGGGTGAGAGGGGAAATGGCATTGTGACAGGAGGCTTACAAGCAGAAACACAATCCTATCATATTTAACTGTCACACCAGTAAAATCTCTTTCAAGACAAAGAAGCTGGTACCACTATCACGTCATGTTCACAGTGGAGAGGCGTTACATGTGCCTTGGTCGGACCAACAGTCTACTGTGGAAATTCTTTTAATCAAATGTTGTGTCACTGCAGGAGTGGAGCACCTAATTCTGGGGTTCTAGGTCACAAAAAGGAGGAAAAAGATGGCTCATCTGAAAGCTGCAAATAGACGTTTTACTGCAGTTTGGTGGAAGGTAGTAGGAAGTGATAGGCTGTCTTGTCCTTCCGATCATGCTGATAAAGAGAACTGGAATATAAATACAAACAGAGTGTTTGTTCATGGTAATTTTTATTCATAACTTAGTGCTAATTCTATACCATAAACCAAATGTATTTGCCACCACACTTTTTCTCTCTGTAGACTTTAGACTGAATCCTGTCAGTTCTACATTATTTAGCTAAATAATTTTATTAGAAATATAGGACCTCATAGGTCTGTTGGTCTATAGCATCCAGTTTCCCTTTGACAGCAGAACATCAGATTTCTCTGGGTAATGCATTGCTGCATGGAACACTATTGACAGTAGTTTCATTCTCTCTTAAAGAATATCAGTTCTTAGGCAGCAACAAGCATAAGCACATCAGCATGAGCATTTGTACCGGCCATCTTATAAAGAAAATTGTATCATCTCTTTTACAGTTTTATTTTCTTATGCAGCCAAATGTGTCAGGCCACTTTGTGCATAAGCATAATGTAGGGCTCCTGACCAAGCATTTGAGCCAGACACTGCAAGGAATTTGCATCCTAGGACTGCATATTCCTGTTGTATTTATTTCTTCTGATAGTCCTTGAACTACATATCAAATGTACTGTTCTGCACGTCTCATCCACAGGAAAGTTGAGCTGAAGTTATGGATTTAGATTTGGAGTAACAAGGCAACTACAAGATTTCATCAAATCAGTTGCAAGCATTTCTTTTATACTTTTCAAGAAATTTCATTTATTGAGCCAAAACCAGCCTAAGAAACAATCATTACCATTTTATAACATTATCTTTCATTTGTTAGTACCTTTTTTAGGCAAACTGGAGATTATAAACTACACTTAGTCTTCGTGTGCATACTTTAGATTTTTGGTGAGAGTCACCCTCAGCTACTTAACATAAATCGTTCTTGTAAATCTATTCCAGCTAATCATGTCCGTTTTTGAGAACAGCATGAAAGAAAGAGGCATCACTGAAAATGAAGCCTTTGACTGGGAGAAAGCTGGTACAGATATTTTGTTGTCCACTAGCACCTCAACTCCACCACAGCAAAACACCAGGCAAACAGCAGCCATGTTTGGGTGAGTGTTGCAGTTGTGCCAGTCAGACTATGGTCAACAAGCTCAGTAATAAGTTTGTTTTTCTAAAGATTTCAAGACCATTATGATCCTTGGAAGTCGGGGCCTCATGGCAGCCACCACTTCATTTGACTTCGTATATTAACATATGTCTAAGGTGGTGGAACCCAGTTTCAGGTCCTTGTTGTCTTGAAAATGCATTTTCTACTGGGGGTGAGTGTGTGGGTTGGAGTTACATTAAGGGATGACTGGAGACCTCTGAGCAGGGTCAATGGAGCTTGTATATCATCCATATTATATGGCATACATGCCTGGAGCTTCTGTGAGAGCACCTGCTTTGAGGTGGGTTTGTGATTGACAGTGAGCTGAGTACAGCTGAGTGCATGTACTGGTCACATCTCTAACACAGCTCCTAAGCCTTTACAGCGCGTTTCATGTGCTGGTGCAAAGGTACACAGAGATTGATGCTCAGAAGTGGAGGTGAGTCCAAACTAAAAATGATAAGGTTTGGTTCACTGGTCTGTCTAGGTGCTTTTGAGGGGGCTGGCATTGGGGGATAACAGTAATCCCTAGTAACATTACAGAAAATAAAAGCTATAAGGCCTATTAAGGCTCATTTGCTTGTGCAAAGGGGGAAGTTTCTTCTAAGCTCAATACTGTGTGATGGGCACTTCTGAAGAAGCTTTCAGCCTGTATATCAAGGGTCCCAAGATGCTTCCACTGATATAACCCACTGTCTTTGTGACTTTACGTTAGATGTTCTGATTCAGGCTGTCATATCTGGGATAAAGCTGGTCTGCCTGTTTTTCAACCTGGTCATACCCTAAAAGCTGCTAAGGAGATCCTGTGGGGCAGTGTGATAGGCCTCCTTCTTTATGTACTGATAATTTGTATCATCTTGTCTCTTCCATAGGGTGGTTAATGTCACTCCAGTACCTGGGGACTTGCTTCGTGAGAACACTGAGGATGTCCTACAGGGTGAACATCTGAGTGATCAAGAGAATGCTCCTCCCATCCTGTCAGGCCGGCCAGTGGAAGGTCTTGGTCAGACTCCAAACACCGCTTTCAATGAGGGTGAAGTTTGGGAAGAGACAGATGTGAATCGCAACAAACTCAGGATCAGCATCAGCAAAGTAAAGAACATCCCCTGATCTCCTGTGGCTGTTGGATTTAGGGCAATGGTTCCACAGACTGCTAGAAGCCACTCAGATCCACTGATGTAACATGCTACATAGTGCAGGCCAAAAAGCACTGAGGAGTTTCCTTGTGGAAAGAGGAAGTGACAAACAATTTTTTCACAGAGTAAAAGCCGTTGGGATTAATTTGGATCTTTATGCACGTGACATTTTGGGGGCCACTAATGCTAAAGTGAATCTTTCTTACAATCATATAATTATCTAGGATTTTGATACTTCAAGCAAGGGAATTCTAGTCCTTGCATAGCTGATACAATATCAGAAATGCCCCAAGCTTGGAAATTATAAGCCAAAAGTTTATCGTGTTCCAACCTCTTGCGTAAATAAATTTAATCAGAGATGTCTTCATAAGCTGTATTTTTCTGTATCTTGAATCATCACTAATTTCTCTCTTCCTTTTTTTTAACTTTCATTTCTAAGGGTAGGACAATCTATAAGGAGCATCTAATGATGGTTTCACCCCTGTGAAGAGTGAGAGAAACCATCACTTAATATTCTCATATTTCTGCATTCCAAAATCATATTGCACCTTTTAGCTTGCATGAAGTGTATACTTCAGTTGATTTTCTTCATAATCTCTAAGATGTTTCTTAGTCCTTTCATTTAAATCTTACTTTATTTCTTGGAGGCATCCCCATTGAGTGATGATACTATAGTAAATGTTAAGTATAAGGATCTACCAGTTAGTTTATTTAGTAGATCGGCTTACATATTGTAAGTAAGTTAGTATTTGTGTCAGGACATCAGATACATATATAATCTGTTAGCAGAGAAACGTTCATCAGTCTTAAAGTGTTGTTAGGGCATATTGGATTCATGTCATAAACCTGTCTTTAATGGACATTTGTGGACTAGCATGTTAAATCTATCAGTCTTCTGGGTCTGACCAGAATTCACTTCAGTCTCTACCAGTAAAAAGTTAGTCCTTATTTCAGCAATGTAGATATCTTCGCAATCCTTAGTCTTATTAGAAAAAACATTATGCATGGACAAGAAATAATCTTATCTAACTTGTTTAAAATTCTCCAATGCAAATAATTCGGATCAACATGTTATATGTATGGAATGTTAGCAGCAGCATCCCCCAACACTGGGAATTATGAACCAACTTCAAATCACTTCTTCATCTTTCGCTGGTAACTGTGTGCATTCCCAGAAGTTTTCATTTGAAGGCACATGAAATAAGAAAAGCCTGGTAGAGAGGGACAGTTCTGTTCATACAACATACAGAAAAATCCTGGTAACTTCTGTGTATTTTTCTGTTCCTTTTAACCACCAGGTGCCTTGATGCTTTCAGTCAGACTGAGATGTGCACAGGGGAGTCCTAAATGTCCTTTCTGTGTGCTAGTTCTATGTCATGTCTTAGGTACCAGCGCTGTCATTCACAAGCCCTATCATAAAAGCAGTTAGAGGCAGGAGAGGTTTCTACAAGATCCACAGCATAACCAGGTGACTCTCCCACCAGGGAATATGCTATTTGTTGTCAGATTACCAGCAAAGCATCTTACAGAGTTAGTCAGCATGTCAATGAGCACTTCAGCTCTGACAAGTCTGTGCTACACAGCAGTCTATGCAGTAGACCTCAGGGCATCATGCTCTCCAAAGCTTTCTCTCCCTGGGGGTTGTTATCTTTAGTCTGACTCTTGGCCTGCCTTGCTTTGCCAGACCTATTATCTTTAGTCTGAGTGTTCTCTGAGAGAGAATAATTTCTTATTTAAGTAACAGTCACCATATGAAGAAAAAAAGGATGCTGCAGATTTGATATCTAAGGGCACATCCTCACCTCTGCTTGTAATTTGAGGCATCCCTTGTGTCTTTCAGACCACAAGGGCAGCTGGTGCATTAAACACCCTTCTGCTATTCACAGCTTCACCGTCCTTCATCTTTCAGTCTTGTAGCACTAGAAGTAACTGTCTCTCCTTGTCTTGCTCTTTGTGTTTAGGTGATAAGTGGATGTTGCCATGTTTTTTCTTCCTAATAATTCTCAAAGGTCATCCTTATTTCTTTGTTCACACAATTCTGGTCTCCTTCTGTCCCACTTCTCCCATTTCTGTGCTAAGGACAGGGCTTACTGTCACTGTTCTCCCCCACCATCCCCCAATTCTCTGCTCTTGGATCTTACCAAGTTGCCTGCTACCCGACAGTTATATCAGCACTTTTCTCGTTTCACAAATGCATTTGACCTTCCTTTGTCACTAACTGTCTCCTGGCCATGAATGAATTACAGATTAAATCATTATCATCTATTCTGCTTTTCCTCTAATGCCTGGAAGTTCTCCTCCACTCTTCCTAGCTGCAAAGGCTCTTTAGTTATGCATTCCAAACCCAGCCTGAGTGGTTTAGGTCTGTTAATTTATGGACACTGACTGACTTGCTATGTACTCATTGCATGCACAAAGGCAACTGTCTTGATCAGCAGCATTTTACTGAGAAGCTGCTTATGTTCAGAGCCTCTAGCATTAATAGAGGACAAGTGAATGTAGGGCATGCAGCAGAGAAGGATAAACACTCTCTGTACTGGGAACTTGCACTGGTACCTCCATACACATTCCCACACAGAGGCAGTGTGTCGTAGCTGATGTTGCATGGCTGGCAACACAGCAGTATTTGAATGCAAATCCTAGACTGCTGCTGTAGCCCTTGGACCATTCTGCCTCTATGCTTTTGCCTAAGCAGGCCCTCTCTTCCAAGGGGAATCAACACTCTGGAAGGCAGAAGGCAGCTGTGTTAGTCACCTACTTTTGCTTCCTTGTCTGCTGCTAAATTAAAAAAAAATCAAATTCACTAAGGCCGTATGAAAAAGGAAATATGTACGGATGTGAGGAAATATGTACATGTCTATGAGCATGTTCAGGTTCTTGCATGACCTTGGGTCTGTGGAAAGCTCTTACAGATGTGGTTGAATGTATGTCCTGGAGGACTTTGTTTAGAGTAGCATGATTTAAATAAACAAAGAAAGAAACAAAACACAAACAAAAACCCCGAACTACCCTGATAATTAGGAAATGGCTTAGTCATATCAAGTTCTTCAGATGTAAAAGTTTGTATGTTGCAATTGTATGAATTGATAGATGCAGGTTAACCAAGATGGCCATGACTCACAGCTGAAGTATGAAGAATAGATTTATTCCATCATTGCAGAGACATACATACACTGCTAAGTCCAAACTTAGCAGGGGCAAAATCGCCAACCCAGTATGGGCTTTGCTGTGCATATTAAAGGCCTGATGCATATGCAAACTCATCAACAGGCTCTGTTTTTACAATTCTAAACTCTCTTATCTCCATTCCCTCCAAGCCTGTGTGAAAGAGTGCTTTTAAGTATTTAGCAACATTCTGTTATCTTTGAGAGAATTCCATTTCTTTCATCAGACAGAAAACAACCCAAAGGAAACACGTGTGAAAATTCCCACACTGAAAAATTATTCTTAGCATCAGAGAATAATCTAGGTTGGAGAAGACCTCTGAAATCATTGAGTCCAACCCTATGACCTAACACCACCTTGTCAAATAGACCATGGCACTAAGTGCCACATCCTGACTTTTCTTAAACACTTCTAGGGGCAGGGACTCCACCACCTCCCTGGGCAGCCCATTCCACTGCCCAATAGCTCTTTCTGTGAAGAATTTCTTCCTAATATCTAACCTAAACCTCCCCTGGTGCAGCTTAAGACTGTGTCCTCTTGTCCTATTGCTTGTTGCCTGGGAGAAGAGACCAACACTCACCTGGCTACAACCTCCTTTCAGGTAGTTGTAGAGAGTGATGAAGTCTCCCCTGAGCCTCCTCTTTTCCAGGCTGAACAACCTTAGCTCCTTTAGCTGCTTCTCATAGGACTTGTTCTCCAGACCCTTCACCAGCCTCATTGCCCTTCTTTGGACCTGCTCCAGCACCTCAATGTCCTTCCTGAATTGAAGGGCCCAGAACTGTACACAGCACTTGAGGTGTGGCCTCACCAGCACTGAGTACAGGGGAAGAATCACTTCCCTGGTCCTGCTGGCCACAGTGTTCCTGATACAGGCCAGGATGCCATTGGCCTTCTTGGCCACCTGGGCACACTGCTGGCTCATATTCAACCTGCTGTCAATCAGTACCCCCAGGTCCCTTTCTGCCTTCCGAGCTGCAGGGTTATCTTGAGTGGAAACAACTAAAAATAGCACTATCTCCTCACCAAATCTTCCATTTTCAACCCTTCCTCCCCACACAATATAATGTGTGGACTCTGCATAGATGAACGTTGGCAAACAAGGGCTCTTAGACATCTTGGATAAGCAGTTAGAGTTTGTGTTATCAGTAGGTTAACCCACGGTAACTCCTTTGGATCAACTATTCAGGGTAATTGAAATGCAAAGGCTACTGTAAAGACATTTAAATATTTGAATTTATTTAAAACCTGCACCTTATTTTAATAGTCGGTAATTGCCAGGGCATAGAGACCCTTGTATTCCTTCAGAAATTGCTTGTGTAGATTGTGAAAATGCAGCTGAAACTGTATCCTGGAAGAAAGCACTGAGCAACAGTGATGGATGGGATTGGTCAGACTTTTAAGTTCTTTGTGTTTACCCACTACAGACTCAGTGCATGGTGGAAGAGGAGCAGAGAAACGGTGTCTGCCCCAGTTCCCCTGTCCGAGTGCCTCCGGAGTCCCCCACCGCACAAGTACGCTCCCTCAGATACCGCCGTGTGAACAGCCCAGAGTCAGAACGCCTCTCCACTGCTGATGGCAAAGGGGATCCACATGAAAGAAGGTTTGTTCACCCTCTGTAGCCTCCTACTTTTTCTAGCAGTGTCTTGATGATTGACCACTGAGACCAACCTAATCGTTAGATCAGCAGGCACTGGAAGTTTATTTCTGGGTAGAGGAGTTCATGAGCTTTATAATCTTTCTGATGAGATATAAGCTCATGTCTCTTAATAAGGAGAGTTAGTGGGAATGATTCCCATCCTGTCCCTGGATGGGAAGAACTCCACAGATGGAAGGAGGGACATTTTTCAAAGGAAAAGCAAAGCATCAAATCAGAGATAAAGTAACAGTCAGAAAACTTTTGACAAATCTTCTTAGGATACATACACGTAGGGGTGTATATATTCTGTAACTGGCAGATCCTGATTTGGTGGGTTTCATTATTTTATTATTTTTCCTTATTTTTCATCAATAGGAGTAGTAGTATTCACTTTTCAGCATACAGCATTGTACTTGTTTGCATGTGAAAAGTACACTTTGCATCTTGATTTTGAGGTATTAGGAATACTTTCTCTCAGATCCACAGCAAAGAAATAAACAAAAAAAAACAAGATTAATAAAAAATGATGAAAAGAAGCTTTTTAAACTATTGTGTGTTGGAGAACATATTTACAAAACATAAACCCTTGGTACTGGTAATGCCCTTCACATCTGTTTTCTGCTTCTAATTGAAATTCAGGGCATGCACTGTGGTTGTAGGATATGGTGAAATGGCCCCTCTAAAAGAGGTAAGGGAGAGACAGGCCTTCTCTGAGAAAATCTGACAGACTTCAGCCAAGAAGAACAGTCACAAGGAGACGGTAGCTGGAAACGAAGTAGGATGTAAAGGAACTAGAGAGAGGAAGAGCCCCAAGCACTACCCCCAGTGTATTAGGCAGTGTTTTATTCTGAGTGGCTGGGGTAATCTAATGCTTTTCTGTAGTTTAGAAAAGACTGTTTGGGTTGCTATTAATAATTTAGGGTTTGAATAACTTGCTACCTGTTTGTTTTCTTCTTGCTCAGAAAAAAGACTCTTTAAAATAGGAAGGAAAACAAGGCAATATAAAGTCAGCAACACTAGTCCTGTATATTCACTAAATCCTTCTAACTCCTTACTTTTTTTCTTCCTCTCTTCCTTGTCTACTCAGCATCATGCTAAATGCATCCATTTCTCCTGTCTTCTTTCTTCAGCTTCTGGTTTTAAAATCAGTATCTTTTTTCATCTTCCAAGTAGCCTGCACCAAGTATGGTGCAAATAGAATCCCATTCTGCCCCACAATCTCTCTTTATTCTGTTTTCATCCTTTTGCAACACAGATTTGATTCCCAGCTTTGGCAAATTCTTTTGGCTTTCTGGAGTAAATTATTCTTCTCAAGGTGTCTCTCCTCTGCTGGGGAATGGATGAAGACGTTGGCTAAATTCAGAGTTTTGTTTTATTTTTTCAGCAACAGCTCTTTAAAATCCAATTCTTCATACACACAGTACAGGCCATTTTTCATTCTTAGTTGGCATACTTAAGTGGTCCTCCTTCACAACAATATCTTTTTAAGACTATAACAAGTACAGCCTTTCAGATCCATCACATGGCTTTTGCTGAGATCTTTGTTTTTGCTCACAACTTTTATCCACATCAACTTTTGGTTCACCTCTTTCTCTACTTCCCCTTTCTTCATCAAAAACTGAAAGGCTTTCCCAGAAGAATCTGCAAGATGATCCTTTTAGAAATCACTTTGTAAAACACACTGCAGATGTCCAAAAATCTGAGCAGCAGACACTTTGGCTTTGTGCAGCAAGCTGCTTGCCTCTGAGATAGGTGGAAAAGCAAAGTAAGAGGCAGATGCAGGCCAAGTGAGAAACCTGGATCATAACACTGTGGAGCAGAAAGACAGGAGTGCCACTGGCTTCTCCAGCTGAGATGCTGTCAGAGCTATTGAAGCACAAGGAGCTTCCAGAGCCTTTTTGAAAGGTATTTCTTCATGGGTGCAGAAACTGCTGCTATTTAGACTGTGAACCTAACATTATACTACCCTTTGTAAAAGGATACTTGCCATATTTACTTTGTGCTTCTTCAGAATATGTTGGGGTTATCTGTGTGTAATGGGATGAAAGATTCTTGCTGTCTTCAAAGAACTTGTGTGGCCGCCTTAGAGGCCTCAGTGGCCACCACAGAGAGAGCACAGTGAAGCTGGTTACAGGAGCCCAGGAGAGACACTAGTTAGTCAGACAGTAGATTTAGGATTTAGGGGTGTTTTGGTCTGATTTTTTTTCACAAGCCAGTAAAACTTACCAAAGGGGAAGGGTGTTGTTGGAGGAAAATGGCTTTGATTCTGTCTAGGAGGAAAAGAGATGCTGAATTGGCTGTTACACTGAAGCACTTTAAGGGAACATCTTTATGCCACTGTAGGTTCTAGAGAAATATTTTTGCTTAAGCCTGTCTTTCTGAAGCGTACCAAGAAATAAGTGAGAAGGACTATACGGGTTTTCTCTTATCATCCCTGTCTTTAACCACAAACCTGATGTATTTTTAATGGCTTCATGTTCTGTCTCTAGATCTCGAATGGATATACCTGGCTCTCCATCACGGCTTGTATGCTCCTCCCAGCCAGCCCAGATGCTGTCCATTGATACTGGCCAGGCTGACCGGCAGGCAAGTGGTAGGATGGATGTGTCTGCTTCAGTGGAACATGAAGCCCTCAGCAATGCTTTCCGCTCAGTACCACTTGCAGAAGAGGAGGACTTTGATAGCAAGGAGTGGGTTATCATTGATAAGGAGACAGAACTGAAGGACTTTCACCCAGGTGCTGAGCCAAGCACCTCTGGAACCACGGATGAGGAGCCCGAGGAACTAAGGCCTATTGAAGATGGTGAAGAGAGAAGGCGCTTGGGGGCAGATGCTGCAGTCAGGCCGAAGACGCATGATGGGCGAAGTCGGGGTATGCAGCCTGTGACTGAGGAGGACAGTTCCCACAGACATGAAGGACCTTCTCAAACAGTATCTGACAGTAGACATGAACAGCAGACAGGAAGTCCAGCCCACTCCCCCTTACATTCAGCACCAGCTCTCCGACAAAGGAGACGAGAATCTGAACCTACTGGTCCTCAGAGACAGGTAAGATCCCTGGGTCTGTACCTTGTTGCCTAGCATAGCATCATCTTAGGAAACCTCAGCTGTGCTGGAGAAGTCTTTGATTCCAAGCATGATTGCTCTTGTGAAACTCTTCTGACAGTGCTTGCAAATGTTGTGAACACCTTAGAAGTGCTCCCTATAGCTGTAGTGACATAGTCCACTTCTGAGGACACACTGTTATGGAGATCTTTCAGCCATTTTGGCACAGGAACAAGAGGAGAGCGCAGTTGTGATTGTGGGTATCTTTAGTCAGTTCTCTTATGCTTTCCCACAGTGTTTTGTTAATAACTGCTTAGTTGAATGGAAGTGTTGCTAGCAAATCTTCTCCACGTAGTTTCTCAGCAGCAACAGCAGTGTATGGCAAGAAAATGCCCTCTAATCTAATTACGTATCAGCACAGGCCTGCAGTAATGCAAATCATAACATAACTTCCTGAAATTAAACTTTCTTTTAAATACCTGATATAAAGCTCAGAGTAACCAGCACACACATCCCATCAACCTTACTTCAGTGAGAGGCATTGTTGTTACCATGTATTTAGTCACAGAAATGTTCTTTACCTACTGTGTTTTTTTTCTAGATAGTTGTAGAGGGCTTTTTTTCTTTCAGTTTTGCTTTTTTCCTGTGATCCTCTAATGCTATAAAGAAGTTCAGTTTTTGGTGGGAGGTAATTTATTAGATTACATGGAAAAATATGATACACTGTTAGGCTCAGAGTTCCTCTGTCATATCTAATCTTCCTTTCTCAGAAGAAGGCTGTCTCAGAGTGCTCAGTGCAAGAGACAATCAAATTGTTCTCCTGAGAGCTTTTTGTATTTATATGTTAATGAAGATCTCTCATGCACGTGGGATCCATATGCACAGCAAAGAGCAGGCGAGTTTTGGGTAATGTACACAGTTATACCCTGCTATGACAGACATTTGTACAGTCTGCTTGTTCCTCTCTGGAAGATGGTAACTCCATTTCCCCTTCCCTCTCGAGCTTTTTCTCCAAGGAAGTGTTCACTGGACTGGAGCATGTTAAAAGAACATCCTTCCATTCAGGTCTTGCCCAGTTTCTTCTCCTCTCTGGATCCTTGAGAGGTAGAAGGGAAAAAGGACTGTTAGTTTTGGCAGCAAAATGGGAATGATAAAAGAATCTATGTAAAAGGAATCAAAGCAAGGTGTTGCTTGCTAAGGTGTATCAGGCTGCAGCACTTACAGGAAGGGTAGAAATGCTGACAGCAGACACTAGTGGGACTGTCCTGCTGAGCGTGGAATAGAAGCTGAACATGCTTCTCATGGAGACTGCATCCAGTTGCAAGGTTCCTAAATAGAGGTGTTTGTTGTATAAAGCCAATTTGTTGAATGCTCCAGATATCTAGAGATTACATGAGGCAAGATTGGCAGAGTTGGAAAGGTTTGTGTCTGAATTTTTGATGTGTGTACACTTACTGGGTTGGTCAGTGCAGGATCTGCAAGATGCAATGAACATGGTAAGAGCCAACTGATAAGAATCAGCTGTAAAAAACATCAGGGACACTTCACTGACATATTTATTGTGACTAAAGAAGGCCAGAGATGCCTTCTTGGCCACAGAATGTACACCCCTGTGTGAAATGACTGAGGGAGTTGGGTATGGGGCAGTACGAAGGCTGCTTATCACTGCACAGTGATACTTAACAAGCAGGCAAGAAAGGTAAATCAGTGGGATTGTGGGTGATTACTGCTAATATAATAGACAGGCTTCATTCTCCAGCTGACTGGATTTTTTTGTTCCTATGCTCTGAAATACCCTCTATTTACTCCTTGGCCTAGCTTTGTGCATACAGACCAACACTGGACTTCTTTGGCTGACTGGGATTTAATTATTCTTCCTTTGATGTCTGGATCCTTCAGTTGCCTCTATACACACAGCTTTGAAGTGATATTCATGTTTTTCCATTTGCTGTCACAAAACCAACTACTAACTCTCAAAGGAAAAATGACTTGGTGCCTAAAGGAAAGCAGAAGCCTGTTCTCCTTAGGTATAGCAAATAAGGAGGGACACTAACAAGAAGTTGACCGACAATTTAACTAGTGAAGATACTGATGGCCTTGTTAGCAATGACACGTTTCCTGTAGCTCAGGCTTGGGCTTCCCTGGATTTGATTGAAGCTGGGATTAGGCTCTGTGTATGTATATGTGCGTGCATGTTAGTAAATCTTCCTTATCTTTGCATATGAACTGAGCCTTTAGGATAGATAAAAATTTCACTAAATGCAGAACTACTGTGATTGATGTCATAGGCTTTGTTGTACCAATTTGTGACCTCATTTTGGTGTCCCAAAAACCGGTGATCATCCATTGGTGTCAATAGAGTACTAACTGAGAGCAATTGGGTAATCCCTGTTCTAATGTTTTTTCTGTTTCTCCATTACCTGGCTTCCATATATGAGCCTTTACTGGCAGAAAGTCAGTGACTTCTGGATTGTCATAGACTCACAACATGCCTGAGATTGGAAGGGACCTCTAGAGATCACCTAGTCCCACCCTGTGCTCCAGGATGGATCACCTAGAGCAGGTTGCTCAGGACAGTGTCCAATCAGGAAGCTCTGAGGATGGAGATTCCACAACATCTCTGGGCAACCTGTTCCAGTGTTCAATCACGGTTATGATAAAAAACTTTTTCTTATGTTTAAGTGGAATTTCCTGTATTTCAATTTATGTCCATTTCTTCTTGTTCTTTCACTGGACACCATAAAGAAGATTGTGGATCCATCTTCTTTTTCCCATCAGGTATTTATAAATGTTGATAAGAACCTGCCTGAGCCTTCTCTTTTCCAGAATAAAAGATCCCAGCTCTCACAGCCTTTCCTCAAGTGAAAGGTCTCCCAATCCCTTCATCATCTTTGTGACTCTTCTCTGGACTATCTCCAGTATGTCCATGTTTCTCTTATACTGGGCACCTCAGAACTGGAACACAGCACTCCAGGTGCTGAGTAGAGGGGAAGGACCATGTCACCCATCCTGCTGGCAGCACTCCTAATGCATCCTGGGAGGCTTTGGGGCCTTTCTGCCACAAAGGCACCTTGTTGGCTTGTGTCCAGCTTAGAGGCCACCAGGACCTCCAGGTACTTCTCTGTCAAACTCCTTTCCAAACAGGTGACCCCCAGCATGTTCTGTTCCTTCTCACACACAGGACTTTGCAATCCCCTTTGTTGAACTTAGTGATTTTGCCCATTTCACCAGCCTATCCAGGCACCTCTGAATGTCAGCACTTGTATCACCTGTGAATCTGCTGAAGGTACACTCTGTCCCATCATCCAGGTCATTAATGAAGTTGTTAAACAGTGATGGCCTTATCCGCCCATGGCTACACCACTAGTGACCGGCCTCCAGCTGGACTTTTTTTCTCTAAACACTTTGAGGCCAGGAGCTCAGCCAGTTTTCAGTCCGACTGACTGTCTACTTATCTAGCCTATATTTCATCATTTTGTCTGTATGAGAGGTGGTGCTGTCCTCGTGAAACTCTGTGGGTGTAAGAGGGAGCCTAATATGATCAGATGCTGCTGCTAGGAAAGTCAAGTACAGAGGAGGCTCAGAATAGCCTGGGGGAATTTCTGACCCAAATATTCTCACATATTAGATACCTCCCAGTTTCAGATAACAAGAAGATTGCTGCAGTGGAGCATAGACCTCATGGGAAGTCCTAGTATAGAGGAAGAACAGGTCTGTCATGAAACTATGTCCTATTCAGGCCTAACAGAGCTCTTAGGATTTGCTTTAATGTATGCATTTCAGGCATGTACTAATAAGTCTCTGCTTATTTTTATGCACTAATGTGCATATAAAGCTATAGAAATAGATTAAAAATGACTGGAAAAAAGGATTGAACCTCCACTTCTGCTTACATATCAATCCTGACGCAGGGTTGCGCTTACTGTTGGAAATAATTTAAATCCACACCTCATAATCTAATTTAAAAATCTGTCAAGTTCTTAAACATGCTGAGTAAATTCACTGATACTTGGCAGAGATGGCAACTTACTGCTGCCTTCTGCATTAAAGAGAATTACAAATGTTCTTAAATTTATGAGTTTTAGAAATTAGTTCTGACCATAGTTCTGTGCTCATTGGTGTTTCTTGACTCTGTCTCCTCTGCTGCTAGTGCAGTTGGCATTGTACAAAATGTTTTGAGATTTACCTGCCTAATACATGCCTGTCCAAATGATGTCACATGTACAAACCACCAGAAAAGCAAAAAGTGAAAGTGGGAGATGATATTAACTCTTCTTTACCTATTCTTGGATATATTCCGCAGAGTTCAGAGAGCATTTTTCTTTTCTCTCTTATAGTACTTATCTCCCAGAGCCAAGAGTTTATCTTTTAAAAAAGCTCCCAATGTGAAGAGACATTGATGTTTTTCCTCACCAGCTCAGCTGTGTAATTAGAATCACTCTTCAAAAACATCTCACTTGATGCTGTTTCAGGCCTCTTTTCTCCCCCAGCCAGCCTTTCACAGCCAGGAGAATGCCACAAACAGGCTTAGTTGAAGATATCCATGTCTCAAGCCTGAGAAAGCAGCAGCTGTAGAGCTTTTGAGTCCTTCCCAGCTATAGACCACCATGGGTGTCTTTGCTGAGAGATCACACATGGATGCTGAGCATGAAGACCTGGGTTGGTAATTCTGACAGGCAGTCAGAAGCACATTGCCCAGCCAGGCAGGGGATGATGCTGTTCTCTTCCTCCATTGATTTGAGCTAGTGATGACTGTTCCTCAGAAAGGGACACAGAGACACAGGAGAGGGCTGCCTCACAATAAGGAGAGGGCTCCAGCATTTTGGGTGAGCTGTACTGCCTCTCTGGTTCATGTTGTATAGAACCCTGGGCTGCCCCAGGTCTGTTACCTGGAGGAACTCTGATTTGCACTGAGGACTGAAAGCGAGCAGGACTTTCTCTAGGTTATATTTTTTTGAAGCCCAGTGGCCTCCGTGGCCCCAGACCCTGGAGCAGTGATGAGG